ATTATTGCAAAAGACTGGAGAAATCACCCTGCAACTCCAGCAGTTAAAACATTTGTCCAGGAGGTGCAAACACCCCTTCAGGGAAAGGCAGGGGAAAGAATTAGACCTTGGTTTCCCACATCCTGACCCTGGCCTATTGTTTCCTCTGTTATAATTGCAAATGTCTCCAAAATAATTTTGTTTTAACCAAACTGCAGTGAATTGAATGCGGATTTGCAAATGATTGCTGTCTGTGTGCATGTGAGAAGCTGAGTGTAAATGCTTTGACAGGAAAAGGTCCACCCTGCTCTACTGAGCAGCTGTATTATCTCTGCTGGGAGGAGGAGAATGTTTCCAGGGCAGTTAGATCACTAGTATTTCCAAACCAGAAGACAACAGGAATCTCCTAAAAATCTCAGACTGGTTTTTACTCCTTGGTGCAGAACTGCCCAGGTTTTGTTGTCGTCAAAACTGAAACCGATACCAGAGTCAGGCTTAGAGATGAATGTTTTTCTGAACTCGCCTGTCATGAATCTTTCATTTTTAGGTGACAGCATGATAATGTTAATTTTTATCAGCTGTGAAACTTGATTAATCAACTCCTGTGAGCAGTGGCCTGTAGCCCGAAATGAACAGCGTAATCTTGAAAATGCTGCATCACTTCTTGTATGGGTGAAGGGGCGACATTTCTGCAGCTTCACCTCTCTGTGTCCTCTTCCTCAGAACGAAAATCAGATCTGATGTTGGAGTGTTTCTGACCAGGGCAGAGCTGAATGTCACTGCTGATGAAGGAGGCTGGAGCTGCTCGAACCGAGCGCTGATTGTGCAAGGGAAACCTTTAGAATAAACTCGAATCAAAAAGCATTCCTAGAAATGGGTCCCTGACCTACTTGCCCCTTACAGTAAATTATTCTACTTCTGGATTGATATTTGTGTTCTCTACCTTTTGGGTTGATGCAGCTTTTCCACCGTGCTTAGAGCACCGCTGTTCCCACCGCACAGCTCGGGCTGGGGCGTGGGCGGGACGTTGTGTCACCGTTCCATGGTGAGCTGAGGAACGAGAGGGAATCCTCTGTGGTCTTTTACAAGCAGTGCTTTCAAGTAGATCTGTGTGGGCTGTGTTTGTTTGAGAGAGGTGAATATGCTCTCAATGGTAGAGTGACTTTAAGAAAGGGGTTTCCCTAAGCCTGGGGTGTAGGTTAAACCTTGAGATATATATAAATACACATATATACTTTTGCCTCCAAACCACTTAGTTCTCATTTGATTCAGAGAGCCTTTATTTGAGACTAGTATGTCCTAACCCAGCAGTACAGAGGCGGACACCTTCCCTAAATATGGTGAGTAACCCATGCATTCATTTGGAGCTTGTGTCAGTGGGTCTCTTTGCAGCCTCACAATGAAGTCATGTACCTCTTTTCCTTGCTTATCTACCAAAAAGACCTCAAATCCAAACCCTGATACTTCAAAGGTGCGCTTTTTTTTTCCTAAGTACCTTTTTTGTTTTGTCATATTGTTTGTATAGAATAATTATAGGAATTTGCTTTTAGCTGGTTTTCTTGCATGAAGTTGGACAAAAAAAGGTACAGCAATAATAAAGGATTGTTGACACACAGAGCATTAGGACTATGTCAGACAGTTGCTTTGGTGTTAAGTGTAGTGATACAAAGATTCAGTGCACCTGTACTGGGTTTGTCTCACATTCCTTTCTTGGATTACGCTTCCGCTGAGACCTTTGGAGGTTTCACCTGTTCTGTAGGGTTTGGGATGTTCCCTGTGCTACTGATCCTGCCTGGAGCAGGCACAGGATTCCCTTAGCTGGATCTGTCATTAGGACATCTGCTACAAGTTGTTCTCTATAATCCCCGCAGCATCTGAGGCTGGGCTGTGTCTCTGGGCTGGGTGACACTTTGCTTGCCTTGTTGCTGTAAACTGGTGTTAATGCTGCGTCTCAGGAGTAGTTTTGATACATTCCCACCTTGAGTAAGGAATACTTGGAGCCACAGTATTAAAACCTTTTTTCAGGACCGGTGGTTTTTGCTGCCAGAGAGCACATGGCCGCTGTGCCAGGGCAGCCATAGGAACTCCAGACTGCTCTCCCTCCCTCCTCTCAAATTGCCAGTGGGGATTCCAAAACGCTTCCTGCAAAACCTGGAGAAAGAGGGCTTCTTAAAGGGTCATCTTCCCTCGGCTTGCTTCTGGATCCTCAGTACACCGTGACACGCTGCTGGCACAGCCCTAATTTCCAGTGGCAGCAGTGCCACGTTTCCACGAACGTGGGAGTACTGGAACATATGGAAAGCAATATATATTTCCAAGTTGTTTAGAGCTGGTGTTCCTGCCAGCCAAACAATGCCAAAGTTTTTTTGCAACTGGCTAATTGGGTTGTTCCTACTTCTTTATGGGTTCTTCCTCTTTTCTTTTTTTTTTTTTTTTTTTGTGCTGGCATTTTGAAGCTTGTCTGGGGAGCATGAAATTTAAGTAGAACAGAGCTGCATTCCTCATCTAAGTCAATCCTTCTGCCCTTCTTGTAGGTGCACAGATTTTTGTAGGTAGGTCTGCCTGTGGCTTGAATTCTTTTCTCACAGCCTGGCTTCCTTCCCAGCCACGTGGGCCCTGTACTTGGAGCGATCTTTCTGCTACTGTTCTACCCTGTTATCCTGCAGAGACTCAATTCCAAAGTCATTGGAGTTGATGGATCCTAACTTTTATCTCTTGGCTTGGATTGCACAAGAAATTCTATCCTTTTTCTTTCCTGTAGCAGTTTCCACTGTAGTGACATCTCTATTAAAAATTGTTCAGCAAAAATATCTTGGGCACTGTCAATGAATATCATAGTTATTAATCTTTTACCCTGCAGTATTTTCTCTTTTCATTTCTGTATTTTATCTCTTGGAAAGTTCCCTATCCCTGTTTTGGCAGTGAATAATAATAAAGACCCATTTTTTTACTGCATAATTTAGGGCTGGCATTCAAAAAATATATAAGTACTTCCTTCCCATCTCGCCCACCTCCAAATAATTAAAGTTGGATACAGATAATGAGAATACCATTGGAAAGGCTTATGCAGTGCTATTCCATGAAATATACCTATTTTACAAGTGGTTTTGTATAGATTTGTACAGATTTCTGTATATTTGACAGATCTGTGGTTGCTTAATAAATGAATTTTAAGCAAATCAAAGGTACTAATTTTTGAGGGCTTTATTTTATCAACATATTTTATACTTTTTTTGGAATTGTGTTCTATCAACAAGAGTTTGCTTCCACGGAAATTGTGCACAGTTCATGGTGTATCATGGACTTTGCACCCAGACCTGTGTGCACTAATAGGCTTCAGCTGAACTGAACATTTTCCCATGAAGAAAAGATTTCTTCTAAATGCATTAAAAATGAGGAGTCTCATTATTAATGAGAGGAGCACAGAGAGTGTTTTGAGTTATGTTGTGTGCGAATTTCATGGCTTGATGAGATGATATTTGTGATTTCCTCTGGTCACTTCTGTCTGTCACCCAAGCCTGAGCATGACTGTGGTTGCTTTTTGATAATGCTTGTGCCATTGATTTCTACTTGAAAAAGGGATTTATGCTTATGAAGGAATAACTTTCTCACTTTCAGATATTCTCGAGATCTTCAATCCAAAGACATTTAGGAGCTGTTAAATGGGCTGATTTTCTCTCAGTGTCAATTCAAGAAAAAAGTGTTAATTGATTTTGAATAAGGTCATGTAGTCCAAAGCAGTGTTTTGTACGCAGCACTTGCACAGATTTGTGTGTGTGTCAGTGGCAGCACTTTCACACACCTGGTGTGGAGGAGCAGCACTCATAGACTAGACTGTTTATCAAACTGTGGATACCACAGCTCTGTGGGAGGGCATCTATGACTTTAATTTTTGGGGTGATTGCTGCTCTGAATCTAGAGTTACCCCAACCAAGGAGAATTGTACTTAATGATGAGATCAATTTTAAGTATTCAGTGTTAAATCTTCCTGCATCACACAGGGCAGGTACCGGTTTTGCTTTGTCTTAACCAAATTAGGCACAGCGGAACTGAGGAGCCCGACTACCCTTTATTTTTGGCAAAAATCAAGCTTCAGATTTTAAGTTTTGGTTAGAAGCTGTCTCATATTGAAGTTTCAGCACTTTAATCAGGAAATAGCAGGGGGAGGAGAGAACTGGCAGGGCTTGCTGTGTTTGTGGCTCTTTCTGGGCAGCATTTGCCTGACTGGAGCTGCATTTTCAGCAGAGAGCAGACAGACATGTAATGCAAAGGCTGGTTCAAGGCTGGCACTGCACACCAGTGCTGCTCTGAGAACCAAGCCTGGGTCTATCTTGGTAGGAGGACATCACAGAAATGTTATATGTTTGATTTCTTCAGAGCAAAAAAAAAGTCTTGAGGGCTTTCTTCCTGTTTTAGGTCAGTTTTAGCGAGTGTTGCTTAGGCTTTCTTTCATCAAATGTTCTTTTATTTCTCTGGTTGTTCTTCCATTTTGATCACATTTACAGTAATAATGTATTTCTCCCTCCCACTCCTCCTACTCAACAGCCACACACAGATAAACAAACCAGCAGGTCAAAAATTATCAACAGCATTGACGGTGATAAATGTTCCACTTTGATTTGGAGCTATTTTGCAATATGGGGTAACACCTAAATGAGGTGGATTTACTCAGCCTGGCTGTGACAGGCCCTGGATCTTTCACAATACAAAGCTGGGTATCACTGAAAAGGTAATTTATTAATGGGTTTATTCCTTATGTATAATTTGTTGGCATGTGCTTCCATCTGTTTGGAATGCTGGGCTTTCTGCTCCCTCCACTGGGACAATATGTCTGGTTATGGTGGTGGTCTGTCAAATTGAATCATTGAGTTGATCTAGGCAGGAAAACCCAACCAAACCTTTCCCTTCTTTGCCTCCCTCAGGCTGGATCATTTCTGGCATTCATTTTACATTGTATTCCCACAAAATATTGCTTTGGTACAGCTGAAGAACAAGTGAATTACTGAGCAGGTTTGGGGAAAATGAGCAAAGGTTTGCGAACACTGGATGCTCTTAAGCTGGAACTGGATATCTTGGAGAAAGAAAAAGAGAATGGGGCAAGAGCAGTGCAGGATTTAACATTTACAATAGAGATGCTTGTGAAATGCATTTTGCATAACATTTTGAAATACCAGTGTGCTGAGAGCCTATCTGGCTGTGCTTGTTTTTACAATTAAGATTTCATTAGAATTAGTAAGTCTTGTTGTCTTTCTTGAACTATGTGGTTTTTTTCTCTCCAAATGTGGTTTGTTTGGTTTTTTTTTTCTTCTATGTGGAAAACTTGTTTTTAGTGCAAATTAATACTCCAACCAGAAAGTGCTTTGTCTGGGCATACCTAGGGAGTAATTAGGGCTTGGAGCCCTGACAAATTTGGTGGGTAAGCACCAAGGAAATTTTGCATGCTTTTTACCAAACATTTTCAATTATTGCAAAACCCCATAAATCCGTGAGCAGAACTGAATCTGTTTTACTTCAGGGTGTTCCTGTTCTTAAAAGCCTTGACAGAAAGCAGAAAATTTATGTAATTCTGAGCAATCCTTTACATGACCATTACAACCCCCTCTTTTACACAACCTTAATTCTTTGAAGTAGCTGAATTTTATCCATCTTGGCCTCAATCTGCCTGATCTAATAAAACCCTACAGCGTTATATTGCATATTGTCCTTGTAAAAACTTACGGCTGCTCTAATAGCAAACACTTGCACGTGGCACCACGACTGAGCTGCATCTCTTTCATTCAGGTTCAGAAGGGGAGGTTCGGATTTAGCTGCAAAATCTGCATATGACTAAGAGTCAGGAGACATGTCCAACATCCCCCACCCCAGCAGTGTGAGCAGCAGGGCTTCTGGAGAACTGCTTGTTCGCACTGGCTGGGGGTGCAGCTGGGCCACGCAGGGCTTTGGGACGTGGCAGCTCTGGCAGCTCCTCTCTGTGCTTTTCCCTGGCTCGACAGAGCAAGGCCACGGAAAAACCTGGAGCACCCACTGTGCGGGCCCAGAGAGAGCACCTGAAACTGCCTCTCCAGAACCAAGAAGAGACGTGGCTATCCAGAAATATTTTTTTCTGTGTTTTTCACTGCTTTCTTATTTATTTATTTCCCCCAGTTTTTCAGAACGTTGTTTTCTTCTTATGTGACTTTTACCAACCTGGGTGTCACATTTTCAGTGACATCCAACCTGCATCCCTTTAACGTGGCCTGGTTTTCGGCACGGGGGCTGCAGTGCTGTGCCCAGCCTGGCAAATCCATCTGAAACTGCTGACATGTCAAACCTCGGTGGGATAAATCAGAGCTGGAGTAGAATATGAATTCTGTGGTGGTTTTTGGTTTGTTTGTTTTTGCTTTTGTTTATCTCAGAAAATTATGGCCATATTTTCTTCAGTCATTTGGTTTTGGTTTATTTTTTTGTTGTTTCAGTGGTGGCACAGAGTGTTCATTCTAAGTCAACATTTTTCAAATTTAATATTTTGAAGCTAGACACCTGAAAGCCAAGTTTAGGCACTCCAAAATAAGGCTTAATCCTCATTAGTCCCCAGTGTGTGCAGCTCCCATTGAAATCAATCAAATACAGCTTTCCATACTTCAACGTGATTTTGTTATGATTAAACAGACACTCATAAAACTTGGACAAGCTGGAATCAAGTTTCACATGAAACTGAATGGACATTTTTTCCTTAATAGGATCCTTGTAATTAGTGATTACCAGATGCATTTAAAACGTGTGAAATGCCTGCAGGAATTGGAATTAAGAATGGGGGAGGGATGCCAAACACCTCAGATCTTCTGCTGGCAACCTTTCATTTCAGATTTCTGCTCTGCACATGGACGAGGAGGCACGATTTCTATAAAATGTTCAGCTGTGGTGTCACATTAAGCTGATGTTACCAATAAAGGAGTGACTCGTGATTGAAAACTTATTTGCTTATAAATAAAAGGCAGGTTTAGCTCTTGATGGCTCCCCAGTTTGTTTCAGTGGTCACATTGCTGTCCTTACCAAAGGTCAGTTTTCTAAGTCTAGCGACTGTCATAATGATGCTGTTTGTCACTTGGATCTAAAGAGAAGAATGAGGCTTCTGGGCTCCTTTTGTGATGAACTGGAGGTGTCCCACACAGCCTGAAGGAACATCCCCGGGGCTGTCCCCAGACTGCAGCACAGGAGCAAATGACTCCTCTGGATGAGGCTCATTCTTGGTACCATCTGTTCTCCCACTTGTTGTGGAGAGATGCTGCTTTATCACATTTGGAGTTTTAACCTAAAACCTCCAGTTCTAAGGGATTATCTTAATGTGGACTGTTTGCTCTTACCCTGATGTGTGTCCTTTTCTCTGGACGAGCTGTTTTTTGGGTTTTTTTTCCTTCTCTCCCTTCTCTTTGGAAATTCTGTGCTGGACAGTAACTGGTCCTGACCAGAGGGAAGCTTGTTAGGAGCTTGTAGAGGGCTTGAACAACACCCTCGTGCTCAATAACTTACACATGGCTCCTTTTTTTTCCTCTCCAAGTGATTTAGATCAGAGTCCTTACTCAAATTCTCTTCATTTTGGAGTACTTTTACCAGATGCTTCCATGAATATTCTGGAAAATACGAGGGCATGCTTGAACTCTAGAGTATTTAAGATGATGGATTCTTTTAGGAGGAATAATAAAAGCTCTTTCTGCAACACTTGCAATGTTCCTGCAACTACTGGCAGCTTGTTCCTTGGGTAGATATTTACCCCCACAGAGACTGTTATTGCTCCTGCCCTTGCAGAACTGTGGTTGGATGGAAGAGAGGATGGTGCTGGGAAGGAAGAAGTAGATTCCTGGCTTTTTGACAACCATTTATGAATGAAGAATAAAATAGAGATACAGATGAGACACCATTATCTCTACTCATTGTAGTTGGATACTTAACTGTTTCTTCTTAGTTTGTTAATCTTTTTATTTCCCCCTTAAAGTCTGATTTTTTCCCTCCCTGTTCTTAATAGAGTCACTGTGAGCAGCTCAAAAGGAAGAATAAGGATGCAGAGGATCGTCTGGAGTTGTGCCTCCATCAGTGTGTTGAGATGGAAAGGTATTAACTATCTTAATGGTACATGGAGAAACTTCTTTTATTTTTATTTCTTGAAAGGTAATTTACTTTGCATTACTGGAAATCTGTAGTTGGGTGTTCCCTGTGTGTCCATGTATCTTCCAGAGACACAGGTTAATACTTTTCTTTCCTGCTTTAATCTGTACTGTGGAGATCTGTTTAAATGTGTGAAACGTGGAAATTTTCTGTACCCAGAAGAGCAAAATCACAGGGAATAGTGTAGCTTGGAAGGGACCCCTGGGGATTGTCTGGACTGATCTCCTGCTTCCAGCAGGGCTGGTTAGGTCAGGTAAATCAGGGCCTGTCTGGGTGAGTTTCAAATAATTCCAGGTATGGAGATTTCACAACTTCTTTGGGCACCTGCTGCTTCACAAACCAATAATATTTCTACTCATAATACTGATACTAAGTATTAAGTGCAGTGTATGGATTTGGGAGAGAGAGAAAAATTAAAAATTGCTTTAAGGTAACTGCAGATTGCTTCGAGAAGCTTGAGAAATAATATCCTACCCTTCTTTCCTTCTGTAAATAAATATTTTGTGTCAGGTTAGTTTATTGTGAAATAACTGAATGGAGAACCTCTTGGGAATTCCCATTTATTCAGGACACTGTGAGCTGTTGCCAGTGTAGTTTGCCTCCAGCCTGTTTCTGTGAAGGGAGGGAGGCACCAGGTTCCCGTCTGTTGATGACATCCCTGGTGAAACCCTGTGCCGGTCGCTGGCAGTCCGAGCCCTGGAATTGTGACCCTGACAGCCATGCAGGGACATTCCTCTGCCTCTCAGCATCCCCTGCCTTTCAGCTTGGCTGCCTCACAGCTGCCACGGGCGAGGAGTTGGCCTGACTTAACAGAGCACCTTGTCCTCCATCAGCTACTGTGTGTTACATTTCCTGGCTGTGTTCCCAAATGGTTTTCATCCATTCATTCTGCTTGCGCTGGCAGTAGGTCACTGAAGGTGTCTCAGGTCTGCGTGGGAGACACAGATCCAAAATGAATCATGGACTTGTTTTCCTCCAAAGGTTCAGCCCAGCTGTGAGCCCAGGTCAGTAAGGCCTTGGTGAAGCATCCACATCCTGGCCAAGGCTGAAGTAGGAGGCAGAAATGGGCTGTTTGTGGTGATGCCTGATTCGAAAAGAAAGAATAGTGATGTAAAGGACCAGTTAAAAATGCCAACCATGCAACTGCATTGCATCAGATCACAGTTTTCCATAGAAACCAGTGCATGTAAGATATGAATAGACCTGTGGTACTTAAGCTGTGTGTGTAGGGCAAGCAGTGAGTCCAGAAAGGGCCGTGGGAGGGAGACCAGTTCAGAAAAGCACATACTGAGGATAGGAAAGTGTCCTGAAAAGGGTGCAAGCTTTTCTAGGTATTGATCTTCACAGAAAAAAGAGCCAGCACTCGAAAACATATAGATCTGTCCCCCTTCTCCGTCTTTTAACTCTTAGTTTTCAGTTCTTTCAATGCTTTCCTGCCACCTCTCCCCAGCTTTCTGCATGTGTGGTTTTTAGTGGGGGAATCCGTGTGCTCACAAAGCACACACTGCTTGGTGGCTCTGCCCGGCCCAGCTTTCCATGACCGATTTTCATGCCAAAACTTCCATTCCCTTTCACTGGTGATCCACACGCAGCTACGTGAGCCCTGGGGGATGAGTCTGGGTGACCAGTGCTCCACTGACTGCTTCTCCAGAGAAACAGGCATCTGCAACTCACTCATGGCTCTTTTAAAGCCTCAGAAAGTTAGTGGAAATAATTTGTCTTTCCTGAGATTTGAACTTGGCCCAAATGCTGTCCATCAGGAAGACATTCCATTACAGTGTTGATAGGATAATTAAGGAGAAGATCCAAGTGAAAAGGGAATGGTGCTATTTTCCTGATGTACAAGCTGTTCAGGGTACAGAAGTGAGGCAGTGGCATGGAAACCCAGTCCCAAAGGACAGTCCCAAAGGACAGGAACTTCCCTTCCAGGCAGGTAGGGCAGCAGCACCCTGGGATCAGTAACATGTCATTTAATGCAAACCAACTACTCATGGTCGTCTTGCATGTTGCAGGTTCCTGAGGGGGGTTATCAAACACTGAGAGACACTAAGTGCCTTTGTATCAGTACCTTTCCTTCTCTCTTCACTGACTCAGGATGGACTATAAGTGCAGCTTCACTTAATCACTGGGCCCTTTTTTGGGTTTTTTTTTGGCATATTTTCAGAGAAACCAGATGTGTTTTCATTAAGAACATGCACCTCTTTCGTTGTCATTTGTGTAATTCTTAAAATTAGGCAAAACTATTAAAGAATAATTGTTTCTGTTCGCATTAACAGCCCACAGCTTCTCCAGATGTGGCATTTGACAGCCAAGCAGCTGCTGGCTATTAAATGTGCCTTAAAAGCCCCATTTCTTTGTCGTAAAGGGAGCAGGAGTGTAGGGACGTTTATGGGGTGATAGGCAGATGTTTTGGCTACATCAGACTGGAGCGAAAGTTAAAGTGGTTTCTCTGTTAGAGTCACAGCGAGTACATGTTTTAACCCATATCATACACCTTGTCTTCTGGAGCTCTCTTCTTGAGGCTGCAGTGGGATTGTTTCTAATCTCACGCTTACCTCCAAAGCAACAGCACTTTTTTTGCAGCATCTGGAACACCTCACTCTGCAGTTCTGCCAGGGAGATCTCAGTTGCTGCCTGGCTGGCTTTCCACCTATGCCCTTGAAACACTGGGTAAATTTTTGGGGGTGAAACTTAGGTTAAAAATTTAGGTTGGAAATAATTCGAGATAATGTGTTGCCTTTTTTTTTCCCTAAACTTTCCTTTTAAGTATATACTCAAAATCCTCAAAGGCAGGTGTTCTTTCTGTGTCTGTACCAGCACAGTATGCTTTAAACCCAATAAACTATTTTTGTAGTGGTACATGTGAGGTGGAACACAGAACTTGTGGAGCTAAATTTCAAGTGTTCTGGCTCAGATTCCCAGGCCTAAACTTTGATGGAGACCCTCTTGCTGGGTGTTGAGTACTGGAATAACACCGCTGATCCTTAGGGAACTGCACCACATTGTAACTATTATTTATCTGCTAACCTCTAAGAGCTTATGAGGCTGCAGAATTTTTTTCTGTAACAAAAGTCTCTCTGTCTTCTTGGCAGAATTTTATCCTTCCCATTGCTTATTGAACCGGAAATTCTTTAGTCTTAACAGGATAAGTTTTTAATATAAAAATCCCAATGTATTTACATGAAAAAAACCTGTAAAACTGAATTTGAAGAGAGCAAAAATCCTTTCAAATCATATGGAGCTTTAGAGAATAGGCTAGTTCTATAGATACACCATCATTTTTAAGAATTATATCCCTAATTTTATTGCTATTTCTAGTCCAAGTTAGATTAAATATTCTGTAATTCAGTCTCATACTCTCCCATATTCTACAGGCCCTTTTCTGAACTGAAGTGCATGATCATAAATAGGGGAAGTATGAGCTGGAACGGTTGGTCTTGAAATTTGCCATTTTTTAATTTATCCAGACCAGTTCATCCTCTGTAATTCAATGCAGAAATTTATTTCTTTCCATGAATCTGCTCCCCAGGCTTAGCCAGGCAAGACTTCTACATCCCAAATGCCCACCCAAGGGGATGAAGCACGTGTTTAACCCTTAGACTCTGGAATTCATTTCCCGTCAAAATCTGACTCCGTGGTGCTGGAGTCTGGCTGTAAATCCTGGCTTAAACCCCTTTTTCACAATTGTTTATGGTGTGTATTTGTGCTTTCACCAATCACAAGAGAATGGCCCGGGGACACCAGCCTTGAAATTAATATTTCAAATAGAATTACATGCCCTGGGTATTAATACTGTGCAATAAATGCCTTGGGATGTGTTGTAGGTATGTCCAATGTCGCCTCGTAACTGCTATGAGTGAGGAATAATGCCAGTTTCCAGTGAAAACCAGGGGGAGCCAAGAGCTCACAGATGGTACCAGCAGCAAAGCTGGGACTCTTAAGGGCTTGGACCCGGTTATTTGATAAACTTGTATTTCTCAGCCTTCAATCTGTGCTGCTACAAGCCCAAAATATTTGATTCATCATATTCTGGCTCCCAGCTTAAAAGTGGAATTGCTGTAAAAAAGTATGCAACCATTAATAAATAAATAAAAATAATTATTTAGAGCATTATACATACTGTAATGTTATAAATAATGTCAGTAATTATAAATGGGCCAATGGAGCCTAGAAATTGAAGTGGCACAAAGGTGTCCCATACAGAAAAAAGTGAAAACTACATTGAAGGCAGCTGGAAGAAATGAACACATGGGAGAAACGAAAACACCTTTAATGGGGTGCACAGTCAAGTTCTGCATGGATGTGGCAACTTGCAAACCAAAGGGAATGTCTTACTCTTGGAGGACATGGGTGGAAGGATATTGGCTGCTGCTTTTCAGATAGGACATGGAAATCACGAGTGAGGTTGGACTCTTCCCTTTTCCTGCAAGTTCCTAAAACTTATTCTGGGAGACCAGCCTTCTTCAATACACCTATAAATTCTGCTTTCATATAAAATGTCCTAATTTTCCCCAAAAAAAGGAAATTTAGCAACTAATTCAAAGGTTACAAAGAGGAGTAATATTCTAATCTTTTGTTGGCTCCTGCATTAATCACACCATGCTATATAAGTAGGATGGGTTGTGTAGATTTTATATCTTCCTGTTCTTTAGAAAGCTTTTGCACATAGAAGGGATATACTTTATCCAATATGACCACATGAAAATGCTTTTAATATTCTCTGATGGTCGATTTTACAAAATATTAAAAAAATGTATCTCCCAAATTTGAAATTATTTCCTTTTCTGTTTGTTAGGGGTTTTTTTTTTCCAACATATTGCCTATTTGCATAATTTAATTATTAAAACCCGAAACACCCCATATTAGAAAATGTTGGCAACAGCACAGAACAGGAAAGGTCTTAACGGTACAGAAGTGCACCTGTGAACTTCACAAAACCAAAAGCAGCTTTGGAAATAGTTTTCTGCAGAAGCTGAGTGCTGTGTGCCCTCTAGAGCTCATCGGGGGAAGCTCTGGCAATCAGCAGGAACTGTCTTGGTCTGGAGTAGCTCCTAATCACGAGTTCCAGCACTCAGACCACCTGTGTGCTTGAAACTCCGGATTCTAAATTGGATCTGCAAACCAGATGTGATTAACAACAAATAAATATCCTGCCAGCTATCAAAGTGGCTAATATTAAAATGCAGGTAAATGGAGTAACAGTTTCTCAGTCTAAGAACTGAGGGGAAACCAAATGCACCAAGAAATCCAGTCAATGAAGTGGCTTTCTGACTTTTATGATGGTCTTGAAACACGTGGATATTATGGAGCAGCAATGGGTTTGTAGGGATTGGAGCCTTTTGTGGTTCCCTTTCTTTTACCGTGGCACAGCCGGGTCCTGCTCTCACCCAGGCACTTCTGAGTGCAGAAAGGAGACTGCAGAGAGACAGGCTGGGAGCAGCCAGAGGTGAACAGCATTTACAGCCACAACATCAAACTCTGGGGAGGAGAGCAGAGTAATGAACCCTTTCTGGCTGAAAAGAAATACTTAAAGCCAACCTCCATCTTTATGGGGTACTTCTCATCTTGATTCATGCTCTGATCTCAGGAGATTGTGGTCACCCATCTCTGCTGACTGTGGCTGAGCCAGCAGCAGAGATGAGTGCAGCCTGCCTAAATACTTGCTGCTGCACTCCTGCCAGATTGCTGCCCAGCTTTTACTGTCTTATCCTAGGTGTTGCTCCTTTATTTTGAATATTTCTTTTAGGCTAATCTGCTTTATTTCGCCCAAAAGAGTTTACAAAACACTGTCTCCTTCGACCAAGTCGGATTGTGCTACCAGCTGAGGATGGTGAACTGCAGGAGAGAGTCACTGCTGCTGTGCTGTGGCTTTTCAGTTCTTCTGAGCAGCCTCAAAAGTACTGAGGGCTCTGCACTGTTATATATCTGATTGTTACACAGAGCAATCTCACACTGGGTCAGGCATGGGAGCCCAGATGGGCTGGAGATGCTGTTTTCCAGGGAAGTGCACTGGAGTGCTTGGTCCTGCCACTGCCTGAGGTCTGGGAAGCTCAGCACAGAGTTGCTTGGAAAAATGCCACTTGCGGTGATTTATCCAGGATTTTGCAATATTTAGCGAGACACAGAAGGGCTGGATTCCTTTCCCAAGGTTTGTTGTTTTCCCTCTGCGGTTTTCTCCCAGTGCTGCTGCTGGGGCTCACCTGCCACCCACACACCGCTGGGGCTTTGGAAACTGCCACGAGCCTCCCGAGCAGCTGCACCACCATGGAGTCCATGAAAACATGCTTGGAGAAGGTCTTTCTCTTCATCCTCATGGCTTTGAAAGGCAGTTATGGCCATGAAATTCCAGCTTGTCCAACTACTAGGTGGCAAGTCAAAGAACCCCCCAGATTTTGAGTTTTACTGGTCCTTACATGCTGCTGTTAGTGTTTCACTGTAGTACCTCTGCAAATGATTTTTGCATCCATGCCTAATGTAGACATATTTCTGTTAGAGTCTCTGTGTTTTAAATATTGAGAATAAAATGAATCCTGCCATGCTACCAGCATGACATTCACCACACTTATTTACTGTTATTATTAGGATAGATTGGTTTGTTTATTGGGTAATTTTATCAATTTTGCTTCAAGAGTTTCCTCAGAACCTACAGTGCAATCCTTGTCTAAACTGCAAGTAGCATAACTAATGAATTCTTACTGCTTTCAGTTTTTCTGGTAGCTTAATTGAATAACTGAGTATTTTCTGCCTAAATAAAGAAGTTAGTGACACTTTTGAGCCTTGCAGTTTGCTTTCTGGTCACGCATTAGTTACAATTAGAGTTGGATTAAGCTGATTAGGAAATGAAGGTCTGGGCTTTCAAAAGAGCTGAATATTTCTTGATAACTTGGGTTGAGCGAGGACATTTGGGGGTTCCTTTTAATTATACCTCACTCCATTTCCTGAAAGTCACATTCCCCCATTACATTGTATCAAGTGAATCAGCCCCAGTTGACAGTTCTGTGAATTTGGAGCCCTCACGTGCACTTAAGTCCTGTATGTCCTTAGCAGGGAGCAATGAAAGAAATGAATTTTACCACCAAATAAACACCATTTTGTTGTTAATAACTGAGCAACCAGTTTTGCAGTTCCAAACCAATTGAACTATTTTGATTGCAATTTATTTAAAGTTGAATTTAAAATTCTTGAAACTGCGTGTGAGTGGGTGGGGTTGAGGACACGTCGCAGCCTTCATATAATCCCCAAAAGGGTCGCTTTGGATTTTGTAGGTGCAATGTAGTAAAATTCATAAAGACGGCTTATATAACTATTTTAAATGAATTTCTGCCCCAAAACATTGAGATACTGCCCGTGTGACAGTGTTTTAGTGCTCTCTGCTTGCACACCAGGAAGGAAGGGAGCAGGAGCTCAGTGCAGGAGCAGCTCTGCTGTCTCTGTGCTCACAGTCAGGAGGGAGCTGAAAAATTGACCTGCTCTTTACTCCAAGTTTTGGTGTCAAGTTTAACGTTGCTTTTTCTTCCTATGCAGGTGTGAAAGTAGAGAGCTGGATGTTGAAATAAGGAACCTGATAGGGAAGAGTAACACTTCCCAGTCGTGTGAGGACCCCAAACCTATTGCACAAGAGAGTCCGAACCCTCAGAGAACTTTGTGTTCCCTTAAGGTAAAGGCACTGTGCTTTTGCAATGTTCATCTGCCAGGAAGGAACATTCAGGGGATGTTTCCTGGGTGACTTGGTTATGCATGAAACTTTTGGATTTCTGAAATGATGCAATGAACTTGTTACACATTTATTTTTCCCTGATATAGCTACTTTCTGTTAGGAGGAAGATTGGCTGAGAAGTTACATTTTATAGTGCTTTAAAAGGTCAGCTAAACCCGCTGATGATCCACTCTGCAGCCACATGTGCCTTTTGGATAACACAGAGCCCTGAAACTGTATAACCCCAAAACCACTGTCATTTCTTTAGGTTGTTTGGTAGTTCTGGTTTAACTGAGAATGAGCAGAGGTGTGTGGGAGAGAGATCTTTGGAAGTGTCAGAAAGGCTTTTAGATGAATAGGAAGGAAGAAGGAGGATGCTGATGATTCAAACCCACACTCCTGTGGTATTGCAGACAGAGAATTGTCAGCCACCTGCCAAGGCCCCTGTCTTTGCCTGCAGTGAAGCAGCAGTTAACAAGCACGACAGAAACTTGTTCTCTGGTTTCCCTCTCAGTTTCTCTCCTCTCCCCTGAAATAGTGAATGTGGTAGAAGGACAAAAGGAATTTCCCTGTTTCCTGGAATTGGGAGCAGGAGGAGTGATTAGGCTCTGAATGCCATCCACCTGCAAGGGGTGACACACTTACCTGCCTGTGTGACACTCCCACGGGCTGGGGGAAGGAAACCTCTGAAGGCTGTGCCCCAAGGCATGATGCAGGAAATCGGGGAGGAGGTAAAACAGAGATGACTCTCTTCTATGAAATCCGAAATTATACAGGGCTCCTTTCACATGCAAACCGCCAGCTCCAAAATGAGTCATGACCTCGGGGCATGAAACCGAGCTGAGCCTAAGGAGACACCCCAGGGTCAGACCAGTGGGATTAGAAACAGCGAGAGGGAAGCCACAGGGAGGGATGGGGATTCCCGGATGCAGGGGGAGGAATTAGCACGGTGAAACAGAAGCCAGCCCAGAGTCAAGGAGCATCCAGCTTGGAAACGACAAGCCACAAATGAGCTGTGGAAACACCTGGTTCCCCACGTTAGGCTCCCTCCAGCAGAAGGAGAATAGGAAAGGATTTGGGGAGGAAAAAGAAAGGATGTGCTTTACCTCAGCTGTTTCTGTGGGGTGCTTCAGTGCTCACCCAGAACACCATGGCAGTATTTGATCTGTCGTGCCTTTCTCTTTACATTTATGGCACTTTTTTTTGCCTGTGTGAGATGTGTGGTTTTCACAGCTTAAAGGAGGCTGGTTTATGATATTTCTGCACTAGAAACATGCTGGGTATTTTTTATTTATACTTCTAAGTCAAGCAACTTTTCGCTTGGCTGGTTGCTGAGCTGGACTTAAGTGAGTGACAGCTTGACAGTAGTGATGGGCTTCAACAACCTCAGTATAAGACGTTAGGAGCACATGTCTCAGATTGTGTGGTTTGGAAAAGGAGGTCATATTTTTAGCACCTAGTAGACTTTCAGTTATGAAGGTTATGAAATACTATTTGAAAAAAAAAAAAACCACACCAGAAAATGTCAGTTTGTGAAATTAGGTGCTGATTTAGACTTAAAATAAAGGGAAAACAGTGTATTTAGGAGGTAGGAAAAAGTTAATAATGAAACAAATCGTGACCTTCCATGTAGTGTTGGTCATTCATCAGGAAGTTTTTTGGCAGAGCCAGCAAGTTGTTTTCATTCTGTAACTTTTTTCAGGAGGGAAGAGTACAAATTGCACTCTGCAAAATGGCATTTCCATCTGGGCTTAATTGCTTTCAGGACTTACCTGAAAATATCTGTAAACAGATTCTCCTTCTCACTAGGATTTTTTTCACAGGAATTTATGATATTAGTGTGCTTTTAAATGCAAATATTTGAGAGAGATAAAATCTAGGTCTGCAGAACGAACCCATTCTCAGCACATCCTTCAGCCTATGATTCCTTCAGCTGTAGTGCTTTAACTGCAGCTTGTCAGGATGCTGCATTCTCCACTCTGGGAGAGGGAAAAGGTTTGCATCAAAAGACAAATATTACCCAAAAGTACTAATGTAGAATATATTGAGTATATCTAGTGCCTGATCAAGATTTTGAACACAGGAGAGATGTTTTCTGGGGGAGGTGAGGGTGGATAAAGTTACCAAATAGGAAGGGATGACTGGCAGTGTGTGAACATAAAGTAAATTTGCAGAGATACCATATTTATAGGATCCATTGGTAAAAAAAAAAAAGGCCACGATAAACTTTCAAGCACCTGAACTCTTTTGGGTGTGAAGTGAGAGAAAAAAAAATTCATTCAAGGGCTGTCTGTACTCACAACCACTGTGTTACAAACCACAAAACAGCCTGTTTGCTGCAGTTCCAAATGCTCACCCAGTTATTGTTCCACAGAACCGGGATTTTCATCATCAGGCCTGAGTTTGCAAACGCTTGAGTGCTTGAGTGGTTGGTGGCTTGAGCCCTTGTGGTTGGTCTCCTTGGCACTGGTGCAAACCAGTGGATAAAGGAAATGCTGAAACATGTTCCTGAAACAAAGGAAACGCTGTGCTGCATTTTACTTACTCAGAAACCACGTCTTGCTCTAATTTGATCTGGTTGGTTCCCACCTATCAAGACACGCGTTTGCATCTGCACATGTTTCTGTGTCAGAGCGAGTTCCTACCTGAGCAGCACAGAAGGCTGAGGCTGACACACTTGCTGAAGGGACAATCCCTTCCCAGCACACTTCTGTGGTGAAGCACACAGACCAGGCTGGGACAGGAGGAGGTATGTTCTTCTTCTGGTTTAGGAGCTAATTTTATTCTTCAACCAAAATCTCTCACTTCTTACCATTTCACCACGTGCACCAGAATGGAGAAAGGGGTTTGTGATGGATACTGTGGCAAGCACTGCTGGCATAACAGCAGCTTCAGGAATAGAGCCAAAACCAAAGCTCAGCCAGCACATAAGCAAACAGAAGGTTCTCCAGAAGCCACCAAATTTTAACCCAAGTAATCTCGGAGGTAATCTAATTTCTCCAATTATACAACTGAACAGTACAATAAATAGAAAATAAAAATAAAAAAAAAATCCCCAACAAACCTCACAGCAGATACATGATCAGCTAGGGGGAAAAAAAAGGAAAAAAATTACTTTTGCATTTTATCATCATCAAGGAAAGTTCACATTTACTTGCATCAAACCTTTTAATGGGTCTTGGTTTCACTGCACTGAACAGACTAAATTTTCAGAAGTGACAAATGGCTTTCATTATCTTAATTTATGAGTGATATTTTGTAATACTGTAACAGAAGGCAGTCCAGAATTAAGATTAAGATCCAGCACTCTGAAAATGGGAGCTTTTATCTTCTTGTGGTGCCGATGTTTGGAGGATTCGGTGTTGGCTACAGCTCCAAGGCTTTCATTTTTCTCCCACTGCAAGCTTCCCAAACATGGCTAAAAGGCTTTTACACTCAGAAAGCTCAGGTCTTCCTAGAATACAAACTAAAATATTTCTCATTTTTAAACAGGGTGGTAAAAAAAAGCCCAATGTCAAAGCTGCTACTAAAAGAAATTACATAATATTATAGAAATAGAAGAGAAATTAATAAAAGGCTTCTAATCAGTTCATCTCCCTTTGCCCTTGGAGGCAGGGTTTATGCTGCCACTCAGGAGTTAACTCAGGGAGTTTCAGGGGGCAGCAAGTCTTGCCTGGTCCCATTTGCTTCCTGGGAAGCTTTTTCCATACCTGGCAGACTTTTAGGTTTGCAACTGCATTTACAGTCTGACGGTCAACCGGAATTCTCAGAGCAATTTAAAACTGTGTATGTGGTTCAATGGCTTCAAACCAAGTAGAAATACCTTAGAATGTTTTTTTCTTCTTGACTTCTGAAGTCTGATAGTTGTCAAGAGCCCCTCTTTCAAGCATTTCTTATATATCTCAGGTTTCTGAAGTGCTGTTGTACAACTGAGTTGTCCTCGACTGTATTGCTGTAGACCTAAACAAATGTGGTGTCTTTATCTCTGCAATACCAACGAAAATGAAAGTTGTCATCTCCTTCTGTTTCTTTTCAGTGCTGTTAACTGTTTCTATAAAGATAGACAGTGATTTTGCTTCAACCATTCCCAGTTTTTGCTGGAAGAACACCACCACTGAAGAGCTTGAGCTTTTGTTCCCTACTCACTGACATTTAGCTTATAATCTGCAATGTTGTTACCTGGAGGGACGTGCTCCAAGACTAGTTTTGGTATAGGCACAGATAATATTAATTTGGTTTTTGGTGGGTAGGATGACTCCTATGGAGAATCTGAAATGTCTTCATTAGAATAACCTTAAAAGAACATTAAAAAATCCACAAGTTTTCTGGCTACTCCATAAACCAGGAAAAACTAAAAAGAACGTCAGGGTAAGGAGGATTTATATCATATGCAAATATCAGAAAGTAGCAGCTTTCTTCCAAATTGGGGTTTGTATCTTGCAAAAAGGAGTTGCTTAGTCACACATTGTGAACCAGAAATCTGGAATGTGGTTGTTAAATTCCAACATTTCACAGGATTGCTTTACTTTGTCTAAATCCTTTTCTGGAAACTGAAGGAAGGATTTATATTATTTTATGTCATATTTCACAGGCTAGCATTCATTCCATTCCTTGAAAATTAAATAAGCTGCTGCCACTGAAAAAAGCTGTAGACATAGAGATCCTTGCACAATAAGGAATATGATTTTTCTTTCATGCTTCCTTCTCAATTCCATTATTATTCAGAATCCCAAGACTGAAGGTGACAATATTTTGCACTTTTCTACTTCGTTCTGACTTTGTATGTGAAGTCTGTGGAAGCCTTTTCTTTGATCTCTCCTGTAAGTTTAACTTGGTAAGGTTAATCTCTTTTCCCAAATGGGAAACTAAAGAACAAGTTTGGAGTGTTGGATACCTTGAGTACTCAAGTCTTGAGTAGCTTGAAGCTTAGATCCAGCCTAAGTGTAAGACAAGTAGCAGAAGTGAAGATAAGATGTCCTCAGGAGAGGAATAACAACCCTGTCATTTTTTCGTCTTTGTGCAGCTTTTCTTGAGGGAAATAAATCAATTTTCCAATTATGGTTTTCCCCTAAACATTTTGAGGTTTGTATGGGGCTGTTAACAGACTTGGCTATTGCTCCTTTATGAGCAGGGCACACTCTGTCCTAGTGTCACTTCATAATGGTACTTACACAAATCCTTTTGCACAACTGGAAGCAGGGATAGAAAAGCCTGTGCTCTTATTTACTGAAAAAGCATATCCCCTTCCTTCCCTTATCCTTGCAACTTCCTCTCTGGGGAGATCTGGCCAGTCCATTGTGATTTACATGCACTCCGAGCAGAGAAAGAACTGCCTTGCCCGGCATATTAGTCACAAGCAGTGTGCTTCATCCTTTCTGGGAAGCCCCAGCCAGGAAGGAGGAAAAGGTTAAAATCAGAATTCCACCCCTTGTTTCTGAACCTTGGCTGCTTCCACGGGCAGCACTCGTGGATCTCCTGGGTCTTAAAGCCATTCTTCTGCTCCTTTAGCCAGCAGAAAACATCTGTTCCATTGCTCTTCTTCTTCCAAAGGTCCACAGTGAAACAGCCACTCCAGGCCATCTCGGATGCACGTGGGCAGATGGGAGTGACATGGAAGCCCCAGCAGACCCACTGGAAGTAAGTGACTTTTTTGGCTGTTCTCTGAAGAGTTTTCTGATTGTCGGGAACACCTTCAGTTGGTGCAGGTATCATGTGTGTGACTTTGTAGACTGACAATTGTGGATTCACTTTTGTGTTCCAGTGGATTCTTCTGAATGATTTACAGTGTTTAAGATCAGAAAAAAATGTTAGAAATATTTTTGGATATGGTGTTCTTAGAAAGAAAACCTCTCCTAGCATTTTTTTTTTACCCTCCAGAAGTATTCAGTCTTTTTAATTTGTTGTTGCACAAAAGGTGCAAAGTGGTTCATTTTAGTGACCCAGAAACTTCTGTGAGCAATATTCAGGCTGGTTGGTGCCGAGGGTATATATAGTTGTGAGACGTGTGAGTTGCCTTATTCATATCAATATTAATCTTAAACATGCAATTAAATATATGCCTAAGCAATTCAGCATCTGAATAATTCCATTGGCTGCCAGGTATCACTTCAGATAGTTTAAGTGAAACGTGTCTACGAACTACAAGAAGAGGGATTAAATGGAAGTCAAGGGTTCCACATTTGAGCTCAGCAGGACTGGCCACAGGGCAAATATGTGGTCAGGATTTTTGCCTGTGAAAAGACACAACAAAACTCTTCTTTGATCCTCATTGATATTTGGCACTAAATTCTCTAGCTGAAGAAAATTTATGTCAGGAGATTCAAGGCCTCAAAAGCGGTCACACTTTTATTCTGGTTTTTCATATGTTGGTTGAGGATTTAGGGAGGGGAAACAAAACTCCCTGAGCAGTCATTTGTACACAGTGTGTTCTTTTTTTTTATGAGCATGCCTCTTTTTTCCAGTGCAGTTCTCCCTCTCTCTCTAACAGATCACGTGTTTGTTTTCATGGCCATCCATAGAAACTTCTTGGAAATTATGATCTGCGACACTGCCATTATAAAAATGAGGGTTGTTGCTGTTGTCCTGCATGGGCGAACCTCCACGCTTTAAAAAACAACTGCAGCCTGATTTCCTAATTTCTCCAAATGGCCTATTTGTTTTCTGGATTGCTTGCTTTGAGCCCACTGTGCTAAAGTTTATTACCTTGGGCCTGCAAGCACTTACCAGGGGCAATGCTACTAATTATTCTCGTTCTTGTAAATGAAGGGAATTACGCCCACTTCAAGTTATGCTCAACTTTTGTGGCTTGTACTAATTGTTTAAATTACCATCTGTAAGACAATTAAAATCCAATTTTGTGTTCTGTGCCTCAGATGGTACAAATAGATACGATTTTGTTTATTTCAGTGGCTGTTTGCATAATGCTTCAATTAAAACACAGACTAAGCAAGGTTAAGGCAGATGTACGCTTCAGAATCTGCTCTCAGTAGGTGTGAAGGTACCAAAATACAAATGCAATGCAGGAAAAAGTTTCTGTTTCAGTTCCTTTACATGCACCTGCCAGGGTGGATGGAGCTTTACACAATAATCACGCCAAAAGCAGGAATTTTTGAACATTTCTTTTCTCCAGTCAAGGCACACGTTACTGACTAAAAAGAAGACTTCATCACCCAGTTCTCTGGAACAACAGATCCTCTCACTGGAAAGACAGAGACGAGAGGTAACCTTAGATATACCTCTAACCTTTACAGATAGAACCTCAAAGACAGACCTTACAATATCAGTAATGGAAGCAGGAAATCACTGAATGTGTTATCACTGTTAATTCCACTGTATTTAAGCAGCTGTTTGTTTTATCCACCAGTCCAGCAAGGCCTGTGTTCTTCCTCTGGGAGTTTCATCCTGTGCTCTTGTCAGATAATTTCTATGTGGATACTTTCTGCTTCGCATTTCTTCACAGCTTGAAGTGTGCAAGCACTTTAATTACATCTAAAATTACATTTAAAATTACATTTAAAACTAGTTCCTAGTTCTCAGGAACACTAGGCAGAGTTATATTTAGAGAACTGTTCCTGAAAACAAATGATGACTTATCGTACCGTGGCTATGAATGTAGAACAGCAGAGATTTATGTGGTGCAAAGGGCAAATTTTATTAATTATCACAGTTGTAAAGGCCAAGAAACAACTGTGAATAGCTGCCAGTGGTGTCTTGGTCACAGGTAGCAGCAAACTGGAAGCTGGTCTTTTCCTGAGCATCCTAAAGAGCGACCCTGTATCCTTCAGTTCATTTGTTTGGAGTCAAAGAAATTCTAATTGGAAACCTATTCATGGAACTTAAAGCAAACTAGCAGGGAAGTCCTTGGCCATTTAGGAGCTGCAGCTTGGGATCAGTACAGTGCTGCCAATGATTCACCTGCAGCTTATGGGGTGTTTGCATGTTTGCTGGATGTTGCTTCCTGAGTGTTCCTGTGCTTTAGCTGGAATACCAAAGCACTGGCAGACGGGCTGGAAAGCTTGCCAAACCTTAAACTTGCTTTTTCTGGAATGAACTGGCCAGATGATGAGGAGGTTGTGAACAATCATAGCTGGAGGATTAGAATGCCAGTCTATTTTTGATTTATTGACAATGTTGAAATAAGGGTTATTAACTGTGACTTCCTGGTAATTACAGCTTCTGGAGGTGAACAAGCAATGGGATCATCAATTTAGAAACATGAAACAGCTCTATGAAAAGCAGGTAACACTGTTGATGACTTCTGCTGGAATATGTATGTCACCTAAGTTTGTGTTCAAATATCACCCAGCCACAGCCATGGTAAAATCAGCCTGCAGTGCCTGCTGTGCCCATCCCCTGCTCCTCCTCATCACATATCTATTGGTTCTTGTCCCATCTCTCATGCCTGGCTTGGGAAGCCTGGGAGCTCCCTGGGGCCTTGCTGTAATGGTGGAGCTCTCAGGTAAATCCTCTGTGAATGTTGCCCTCTGTAAGCAGGGGCTATCAAGATGAGTTGTAAATAAATGCTTTTTCTTTCTTTCTTTTATATTTTTTTCCCCCCAAGATCCAGTTGACGTAGCCTTTGTTCCTTGCTTATGGCTGTGTGGCATCACTGCTGCAGCCATTATCATCAGCTGCCTAGTGAAGCTGATTGCTTACAACTTTGCCCGGTATTCCCAAACCTAAGTTGGTTCACTGACTGACACTTCTCATCTATTGCTTCCTGCTATGAGGAGGAAGTTTACAGGATGATCTCATGTGCTCGTCAGGAAGATTTTCTCTCCAGTGTTTTCCAGCAAGCTTTACTGAGATCTGAATCATTTACTGTCTCTTTTTTTTTGGTTTCTCCAAAGAGAAGAGGAATTCAAATGGATCTTCCTCATTTAAAATGGAGCTATTTTTCGCCCCTGGGTAGACACCTTGGAGGTGCTGTGCCTTTGGGAATCTCCAGTCAACCCACCCTGGTCTGTCCCTTGCTTTTCAGCTGGCAGAGATGAAAGCAAGGCTGGACGTGTCGGAGAGAAGAGTGAGCGAGCTGGAGCAGGAGAGACATCGGCAGCAGCCAGGGGATGAGAGGTCGGGAGTGCTGGGCAGAGAGAAGCCGTGGCAGGAAAAGGTAGGAGGGTGCACTCTGTCACCTCCTTTGTGCTCTGTGCTCAACACTTTCTTGCCTTTCATCGTTCTCTGCTCATGCAGGGCCGAGCATGGGCTGTGAGATGAGATGTGGTGCTGAGTGTTGTAGCCGAGGCAGTGGCTGCTGCTCTGCCTCATCAGAGAGCTGTGCACGGAGAGTCATTTCAACAGAACCTGGCAGACAGCACAGCATTAGTGTGTGCGTGGGGGG